CTGGAGCTGTGATGGCCTGGGCGTCTCGTGCGCGCGCTCGCGCGCGAATTTTCACAAAGCGGTTGGCGGCCATCTTGAAAACGTCAACAGTCTGTAGCGTGTCTCCCTATTTATGTTTGTTACTGATCCCACGATTTCCTTGAGAGGCTCAATAAAAAAAGTAAGATCAACACGAAAAAAAAAAAAAAGTTTGATCCGGTGCTTTTATTAGTAGAGGTAAAGCGATCAAACCAGGAATCACAATGACTTTCTAAAAAGTTGAAAGATCCTTTTTTTTTTCCTCTGAAGAGTACTGCGCGTGCGCGCGCCATGTGAGCTTCGCAACTTTTTTCGATAAAAACTTATCTGCACTTTTTTTTTTCTGAGAGCGGCAGGCTATAGATAATTTTATTGCGGCCTGTTTGGGGGCTGTCGAGGAAATTAATGCAATTATGGGTGTCAGTGTAATCCAAGAGGTTAATGGGAATGATTGAATTCTGTCTATAGTTTGTTCAGTCACACAATCTCGCATTATATATATATATATATATATATATATTTTTTTTTTCATCGATGATTTTATTAGTTCGGGTGATCCGAATGAGTTCGTACATTACGCGTTGCAATATATATTGAGCAGCATGGTCACTTTTGCATGCCAAAGTTGAACGTACATGAATAAAGTACCGTGATAATTATTACATCCGGCGCGAGCGGATGTTTAGAATACCCCTATGTAAGAAAAAAGTAAACTCTTTGGCGCTATTTCTAGAGCTGGGCAATTGATCGATGAATGCTTTAAACGCGATTAAATATTTTTAAGAAGTTAATCGGTAAAATGTTGCGTAATCAAAAGAATGTAAAAATTCGACGCTTTCACCACGCAGACATGAACGAATACACTTACGCCAAGGGCAAATTTTAGGTGAATTTTATCCTAAAGTTAACTATAGGAAAGAAATTTGTAACTCCAGGCAAGGTGCAGAAGGTTACACTTTTGCCGGCCACTTCAACGCCGTTTGAATGTCCGTTTAGCGCAGCAGACTATTGTGCATCTGAAGTAACAATCTGTGAGTGCGAGTGTCTTGGAACTGTTCTAACTGCACCTTGAGGCGGACTCGAAATCAAATTATAAATTGCGCCGCTTTTTACATATTCAACAAAGGCACACACACAAAAAAAAATTGCTTTGCTTCTTTATATATTACGCATGAAAATGAACGAGACCGATTAAGCGATTAATTAATCGATTAAAAAGTGGCGATTAATCGGGTTTAAAGTTTTAATCGACGCCAAGCCCTAGCTATTTCGCAGATCCAAACAATGAAGGGCAGCTATTAGAAATGGCGCTTAAGAAATACCGTTTCGTCTGCTCGACATCCTAGATGCATGAACGAGCTGCCATTGACCTTGAGACCAGCCCCACCCTAAAAGCTCAAGTACGTAACCGACTGTTCAAAGTAACAAAAGCAAGCCAACACGAACAAGCATGGCGAAGTGTCGTTTAAAAAAGTTTTCATCGTCTGCTTTCGAGCACTTGATGCACGGCTGGATAGATGAGCAGCAGCGTCTGCTCCCAGACTCACGCACATGCGCAGCACATGTTTCGGCTAGACCCGTTGCCGCCGCCACGACGGCTGGCATGCGCTACTGACACCGGACACCACTCCGCTTTGACCCCCACCAGAGGGCGCCCTCTCACGGGATTGCACTAAAGCGACATAAAAAAAAAGGAAGAAAATGAACAAACGAAAACAAGAGGACGCGTCGCTGTGCCCTTCAAATCATTCCGGCAGCCAGCGCCCTCTTGAACTGTGCGGTCGTGGAATGCGTAATGCGTAACTCGAGCAGCCTGTGAAAATGGCGCGGATTGGAACGACATCGTCTGCGTTCGGTTGTGGGACTATCACGACCGATGACATTGCCAGGGGATGATTCGCATCGACGCTCGTTATGATTTCTGTTGCGGAAGGCGCGTCATAATCTCAGGGTCGCTTTTGTTTTCGCACGCCGAGACTCGCAACACTGATTTTGGAAAGTCGGGCTCATTAACGGTCACCGTCGTGAAACAGAGGTTCGATGGCCATTTTTTGCTTGCTCCGTATCCCAGTTGCTCGACGTTTTTGCCTGCGAGGGACCGACACTTGGAATTAAATAAAGCATTCTGCGCAGAATCCATCTTTTCTCGTGTCGCTTTAGCAACCTCATTTGCTATTCTGGAAAGCCTTCTAATAAGAAATGCGTATCTGCATAACGTTTTGCAGACTCTACGCTTTTATGCCTTTGTAATAGTACATCTACATCCAGGCCGTCGAGACGTCCCCGTCATAATAAATTAATGAATAGCCACAACACTCCCGGATTAGATCGAGAAAATGAAACCCGGTTTTTCGGCCCGTATAAATAAACTACGCATCGTCGCAGAAGGCTGAAACTCCGTGAAAATGTGACGCTCTAGCAGTGGTGCTAAAATGCGAAAGTGCGGGCGCAAAACGTTACCTAGATCAAACGATAAGAAAGAAAAATAAATCTCTATTGGCCGATGTCAAATTCCTCAAACCGAAATTTCAGATTGTAAATGCATGTAGCATTTGCTTTAAAAAAAAAAAATGTTAGTAAGAAAGATTATATTTTCGGTTTGATCAATATGAGACTTCGGTGTACGTCGGCTCATAGGGAAATTTTGTTTTCATATTGTATATTTTGATCCAGGTGACGTCATGTGCTTTCGCGTTTTACAAATTACCGAGCCTCGAACGTAATGGATTACCGTTACAAATTACTTTCGTTGAAAGGGAACGGATTATTTTACTCGTTGCGTTACAAATTACTTTTCCGTTACTTTTCCCGTACACTTATCAAGAAAACAATGTAAACAATTGTGATGTTTATAAAAATATTCTTAAACACTACTTTCCATTTCGCCCCACATTATGGTAGTCCTTGTAAAAAAACAAAATGTCGTCTTTAAGAGACTGCATTCGCCTGTAAGCTGACAAGGCAGCGAAAGCTGCAACCCCACCTGTCATCCAGCGCTAGCTTGCGGCGACCAAAAATTATCCCCAGAATTCTGCAGACAAAGCTAACTTTGCGCATGCTGAGTAGCAGGAGATTCGGAGGGAAAATGCCGATCTACGAACTTTGGGCTCCAACTTCGTGGTTGACGAGTTTAGGGCTCTAGCTCACTTGCACCTTTGCATTAACTTCATTATCATCATAACCTAAAAATGCGGGCCCCTCACTTTTGTTGGTTGTTAAACTGCGGCAGGTGTTAAAACCAGTCTGCTTTACTGACATTTTAATACCTGGTTAACTCAGGTAAAGCGCTCCGCTGGAAATGGAGAGGTCCCTGGTTTGATACCAGAACCAAGCGGATTTTTGTTCGGTCGCGCTCGAGTAACTTTTGTTTGGAGATTTGTGTTTGTCCTTTGTCCCCTCTTCGTGGAACATTATCGTTACCAACAGAACCATTCTTTTTTTCCTTAACTCGTAGCTTTTGACAAAGACCATGATAATTTTCGCAGACGATTTTCGCAGGCATTTCCCATTTCCAACGAAACACATTCCATGAAAATTTCAACTCGCTACGTCCAGCCGCCGATTTTTGTGGTGCGATCACATGCTGTAAACTTGTTTTGGCGGAGTATCACGGTCCAGATCAAAGGTCACGCGTGTTTATTGCTCACGCTTAAAAGGCCGTAGAGACGACGCGCACGTCTGCTACTTCGAAACCGGACGACGCCACGCGTTGCATTTTTATGTGTCGTCTGCGTTTAATTCCGATTTGAGGTCGTTCGTACAGACGCACTTCCGAAATGTGCGATTTGCAATGGCGCGTTTGCGCTTTAACAGGAACAACTCAGCTCTGGTGAAAACACTAGCGAGAACCAAAACAAAAAAAGTGAAGACAACAACAAAAGCAAAGCGAAAAGGAAAAACGTTAAATCGAAACTGGTTCTCCCTCGACGTGACCGTCCCGATTCGTGCACTGCTCCGAGGCTTCGGAAGATACGTGCCGCTTGCTCCGCGCGCGCGACGGTTTTGAAACGTGCGAGGTCAACCAGTGTCCGAGGTCACCGATAGGGGTCGCCCCGAAATGGGGTCAACCCTCTCTCGCGCGCCTACTAACCGGAATCTATCCATGTATCGATACGAATAAGGCGCGCGCATCGGACACTGCCGTAGATGAAAGCGTGCGTCGGGCCAACTTCCTTGTTTTATAACCCGATTAAAGATATACTGTGTTCCTTATTTTTGGTTTCCACCGGGCCAGACGAAGAGATGTCCACTCCGCGTCGCGGAATAGCAGAAGCCTAAATTTGTGGGCACCGATCGACGTGACACCAAGCGTCGAAACATTGGGCAGTTGTCAATAGTGTAGTTACATAAGCGTAAATCGTCGCGGCACCAAGCGTCAAAACACGAACACTGTGAAATTAATACTGGCGGTGTACCGCCGGTGCTCAAAAAGACCAATGTTAACAAAATATTAGTAAGGAACGAAGACAGAACGTGCAAACTTTATGATCAAGTTCGTGTTTTGACGAAACGTCTAAATTCGTTTTTTGTGACGACCGTCAAGGACTGGAACGCTTTACTAGAATGTATAGTTTCTGCTGCAAATGGTGATATGTTCTTTTCGTTATTATTCGTCCCCTGCAATAATACCTTCTAGACGCTGCAGGGGTTCTCTGAATAAAGAGTAAAAGTATAATTAGCTAACTACAAGCCTAATGTTGTAAATTTTGTAAATTAAACCTATTATCTCAATTATTCTGCGGATTAGCTTAGAAGGCGAGACTACAGCAGAAATACTTTCCGGAGGCTTTCAAGATCTCGCGTTCTTATGTACTCCGGAGCTGGATAAAAATCCAACTTATTTGGTGTTTAGAGATTTCTTGGGTGTTAAAAGGGGATCTTCAGTATACTTCCAAACAACTCATACATTGAAGAAAAAAAAGTGTCTGCCAAGTTTTATGAAGAGTGGTACCTTCTATAACGTCATTTGTTTCCTTTTCCAGAATGCCGACCATGCAGCGACAGAGAGTTATTGCACCACTACTGCTCTAGCGATTTTGGTGAGTACCACGGCACTTGTTCGCTCCCTTCGCGCAGGTTCTGCTCACGTGGCGTCATGACGTAAACCCTCAATGCTTCTGCCCCGGAACTATGTGTCTCACCGTCTGATAGGCATTGTTGCCAGGAAGGGCTATAAATAGCCAACTTTGGCTACTTGCTATTCTGATTGGCTGGAGAATCTGGTTGTTGGCTACTTGACTATTATTAAAGAATTTCATATCCCTGCTAGGGACTTCTGAAATTTGCTTTTTTGACACATCTAGGAAAAGAAAAAGTTCAGTTAAAGAGAGCAGGGAAATAAATTATCCGTATCCCAATCCCTTAAAATTGATCAATGGATTGATCCAGTGTCCGAATTTTAGGTCAACTTCTGTTTGGGTACCATTTTTTGGGTACGATGGAGTTGTTCATCTGTCACGACGGCAACGTCAGGGGGAAGGGGGGGGAGGGGGTCGCTCTGTAGAAGGGATTGTTCTGAATATAAACTCGGAGCTGTGTTTAAGTAAAGGATTGAAATACATCGTACAGAGCTGTATGTTTTTTTTTAAATATATATATATATATATTTGGTTATTACTTTAGACTGACATTTGACTGTTGTTGGGTCATAGCTCACTAAAATGTGACGGATTAATCAGCGAGTATTTGGCAACCCTGCTCATATGCTTTGTTCTAAAAATGTACTTGATTTCAGTGCAGAGTAAAGGTTTCGTGCCTTTACTGTTTGTTGTGTGACTACCTCTCAACAAACACTCCATACAGACGTGCCGAATTCGCAACTTTTTTCAAGTTGAGCATCTGACGACTCACAAATGGAATCTAGAACATCGATCGTAGCTTTATTTGTATCATGTACATTTGAAAGGACATGATCTTGAGTGCAAAGAAGTGTCCAGAAGATTATTTGGGAGCACTTCAAAATTCGGCATAATTGTTGCACAGTACTTGGTAGTTTGTTTGCACATGTGGGGACTGCGCCTTGAGAACGAGTTTCATTCTTCTCTTTGAGCCTGCTCCTAACCTGGCCGCAAGGTCCCTGGTTTGACTATCGAGTAGCATGGATACCATGTTCAAGAACTAGAATATCTTGAAAATGGTATTGTAAACTGAAAGTCCTTGGAAATATATGAATATAATTGTTCCATGATCGCATTGTTTTAGCCCTGAATTAAATATAATGGCCTCACGTTTCGATGCAATTATGCTCCTTAATTGGATATGATATTTTCATCTTATGATGGATATGATATTTTCATCAAGTTTTCGAAAACCTTGAATATGATAGTGTCATCAAGCCTTTGGCAACAGTTGACTTGCACATTGCTGTATTAAAAAGCCTACTAAAATCCTTAATTGTTTCTGATGTCATGTTCGTGAGTTGTGAAAGTGATTTAAAATAATGGTGTCAATATCAAGGTACCTTCCGACCGACCGATGCTACGACCCACCGTAGCCAATCCAAGGCCTTGTGGATGTTACGTGACTTTGGAGAGGGGGCGCGGTGACAGGCAAAAGCGTATCACGTGTTTTCGTTCTCAGAGCACGATTGGCTGAGATTGCCCCTTGCGTCCGCTGCGTTCGGACGTGAGGTGAAACAAAATATAAAACCCCTTTAATGTTTTTTTTTTTTTTTTTTCATGCCGAAGATTAGAACTTTTGACTATAGGAAGTTGCCATGTGCAGGGCCCAGAATTTAGAGACACTTGTATACGTTTTTGCCATGATAACCTTTAAGTACTATTTTTCCCGCGTTCAAGACATTGGAAAACCCTTTCTAGTAACATAACATTATCATGTTTGGCCTTGTCGTGTTTAAGGTATTGGAACCCTTCAGATACAGTGATCAACTACTCGGAATTCGGAAATCCTTGAATACGCTTTTATTGTGTTGAAAGTCATGGCAATCCTTGAGGATATTACCATGCTCAAGCCTGAATGCTTGGAAATTTGATTATCATTTTGGCTTGTCATGTTCAAAGCCGTAGAAGTCCTCGAAATTTCAATAAAACGGCTACACTGAGAAAAAAAAAAAACGGTATGAGGAATACACACGCACACAATCTTCAAGCCGCAATCAGCATTTTCTACTTGAGCAGATCCACACGTTGGAACCTCCGAAATGGCGAGGGTTATCAAAATGTCAAACGGACTCGGGAAAACTGCAAATTTGGTTAATTTTATGAACTGCGTTTTGCAGTTTTTGAACAACACGAGATGTTAAAATAATTATGCAACAACCGATTAGAGATTATCATGATATGTACGTTTTGTTCCTGACCTTGTTGCATGGGTTTCATTAATCGCAACGCCCAGGTTCTGCCATGTTATATGTGACCTTTGCTCTTGCGGGTCATTATATTGTTCCTCAACAAATAAATAAAATAAAATTGTCACACTCTTACGTTTTTACTGTACTCAGTTTACAGACAACGCGAAGTAGTTGTTACAATATATTTTGTTGTTCCAAGCGATGTTCGTTTTGCTTAAATTTACCACATGGAACCTACCGTTTTTAACGAAGTTCTTGAGGTGACAACGGGTGTACGCACTGGCAGGTCAGATGTCGAGCTGCTCCCAACAAATATAACCCTAGCTAGTCAGAACCAACTGTCACATATATAGAAGTTTATATGTACAAACCAAAAGAAGCAGAAGACGTGGCACGCCCGTGTCCCTCACGAACGTCTCTTCAACCCTTTTCCCACAGTATCCTTTGTCACAAACGGCCCACAGTCAGTAACACAACATACCGAAAGGCGCAAAGAAAAAAGCGCGGGAACTTCGATCGTACCCCTAAACTTAATCGTCGTCATCATCATCATTATCAACACCCCCGTTATCCCTTGGGAACAGTTCAGGCCTGGCCTTTTTGTACACACACTTAATCCACGAACAAGGAGGCGCTCGACGCGGTCCCACGCTCTGACGTCACACTATTCCTCCGCTTTACTTTTTGCCCCGTCTGCGCCTTTATTTTGTTTCGGGTTTGGAACTCGGCGCTGGTGTCACTTAGCAGAAGCGAAATGAATGCCTAAATCAGAAACGCTAAAAATAGCCAGATGGGAACAGGGAAGAGGAGAAGATCACAGACGAGTAGCAGGAACTATGTTACGACCGCGAACGGAGGAGGATGCAAAACGTCTCGAACCGCGCTGCGCGCCCCCTCGTGTGTAAGTTTACTTCGCGTGGCCATCTTGTTTTGATGAACTATATGAGCCGAACGTGGGAACCGCTTTGAGGTCAAACTTGCGGGGAGACCCCTCTTATCGCTGGCGTTCGGCCCTTCTTCGAGTTGGGTTTCAAAACCCCCCCAAGGCAGGGGAGCGAGGAGGGCCTAACTTATATCGGCGAAGACATAAGCTTTCGGTCGCGCTGTTCGGTTTTAGCCTGCAGGACCTCTTGGCCGGGCTAGACCCTGAAACTGACACCGCTCTCCTCGAAGACCGTGACGTCTGGGGAGGCCGTCAGAAACGGTACCGTGGGATTGTATACGTCTCTCAAGGGTCCTTGATGAAAAGCAAACAAGGCCAGGATGCTTAAAAGGATGTTCATGGGAAGCTTGATGGTGATGATTTTAAGACTTAGAAGAGGACTCGAAAATAGAGGCTAAGGTCAGGCGTTAGACATCAGATATCTCTTAATTGTCTTTGGCTTGCTTAAACACCATGAAAAATCAAATTAGCCACCACATCTGTTGAATCCAAAGCCCCACATGATCCTAAGATTAAGGACCGGCCATAGACACGGCCAGGATGTTTAAAACGATAATCCTTGAGGCTTGGCGAGTATCCTGGATTGAATATTTTAAGACTCGGAAGGAAGAGGATTCGGGTTTAGGGTTAGGCGTTAGACATCAGGCATTTCTTAAACTGTCTTTGAATTCCTGAGCTTTGACAAATGACAGACCCGCTGTCGTCTGCGGAATCCAGAGCGGCAGATAATCCTAGGATCAAAGACTGGCAAGGTCAGGACATTTAAAGAAATGGTCCTTGAAGCTTGATGAGCACTCTGGTTTGAAGGTTTTAAGACTTGGGAAGGATTCGGATTTAGGGGCTAGGGCTAGGCTCCAGACATTTCTTAAATTGTGTTTGGCTTCCTGCGGTTGTAAATGACTGAATATACACCATGACAAATGACAGATCAGCCGTCTGTGGAACCCAGAGCCCCAGATAATCGTACACCATAATAATCATACGCCATAATAAAGCAGGCACCATTATAAAGCAGAGCAAAAGATACGAGAATAAGCGGGCAGTTTAAGTTCGGTTGTTGGATGTTTGGCCGATGACGTCAAGTATCTGGGCATTGATCAAATCAAAATAAACCAAACAAGCAAGCTGACAACTTAACGTTTGTGGTGCCTCGTTCTTATCAGTATTGGGCATCGTTTTAGAAGTCGGAATTTTCTGCATGGAGGCTTATACAATATCTCAGTCTATTACTTAGGCTTTAGAGGGGCAGTTGACCAGTGCAATGCAACTGCAAACGGAGTATTTTTACAGTTTCGCAATTAAGTTACATTCTAGTCCATGGTCGTTTAATGTTCATGTTTTAATGAACGAAAATACAGACGTAAAAAGGTGCAGTCATAAATGCCTTCAAATTTCCGAGCAAGCAAACAAAAAAAAAAAAAAACAAGAGAGAGAAGAGGGGGGGGGGGGGGGGGGGGCAAGACGCATTTTGGGACAGCCGTCTCAGGTTGCCCCACTGCTGAAACAATGAAACAGGGAACGAACAACGTAACACACAAAAAATGAAACAAAAGAATAATGAAATCGGGGAGAGGGGGGGGGGGGGGGGGGGGGGGGGCGAGACGAGTGGAAGCCAGGCAAGCGATATGTAACGGCCCAAAATGTCATCGCATCGCCTCCGCCGCTTCCGTGGCACAGGCCCCCAAACATTGAACATGCGTGCGTCGTCTGCGAAAGAAGAGCGTCGTCTGCTAAACAGCGTCGCCGTAGTGTCATCTGCTAACGGTTTTGGGAGACGGGACCGCAAC